TATTTTATAATTAATATATTATACTATTAACAAAAAAATTATATTTAAAAAACGAGCGTATGTACCTGCATGTGATCAAAAATAAATTTAAAGAAAATGAAAAAAATCGAAATTTTACGAGAACAGCTGATTGTTCTAGCCTGATAGTACGCGACTAGTTTTTTTTTGCGGTTAGATAATATTTCTCTTGTCTATCGTTGAGGCGCAAAGAGAACTACGAGAAAGAGAGAAAGAGTGGAAGGAAAGAAAAAGATAGAACGAGAAATTGCGCGCACCTATAAGGAGGAAGCAGACAGCGAGATCTTTCCTTGCATTCAGTCACCGACGCGTTGCATTCTTCTACCGCGTTGCAAGTAGTCCTTCGTTTCTTTTACTTTTTTTAAACAAATAATTCAATCATTTTTATTTGCGCAAGCGAAAGTTGTCCTTTTTTGATTTTTCCATGATCTTTCATTTCCGATAATGATAAAACTTTTCATAAGAAATACCCTGCAACCCCGCCCCCCTGCGACCCCCGCCTACTTTTCGTGCAGTTTGAAGGCGCGTAAAAATGATTAAAAACAAATAAAATAATAATTTTGATACGATCAATTTTCCATGTTATTCTAAGGTGCTTGTTCGCACTCGTGCTAAGCAATTTTCCATATCGCAAACTTTCGCAAAGTAGAAAGATATTATTATTTCGTATAGACGAGAGATAAGGTGTACATAAGTGTGTGTGTGACTCGCGTTATGAAAGAAAATAATTCCAAAAAAAAAAAAGCAAAAAGAATTAAAATCATTTATATTTGAACTTTTTCAGTGTGTAAAAATATAAAATAAATTTGTGACGAGATAAAGAGAGGAGCGAAGAAAAAGAAGAAAAAAGAGAAAACGAACGTATTGTTTTGAAAAGGAAAGAATAAAAAATAGAAAAGTATATCGTTAGATTTAGCAACGAGGATACACATGCGATAAATTAAGACGAGGGAAGATAAGTGGAACGATCGAGACTCGAGCGGTTGGAGCAAGGTCACGGATAAACTTGGTAGGAGTTCGCAAAGTGTTGTTGCTCGAGTGGGAAAGAGCTCCTTTTCTTCGCGTCGATGGACGTTGGTAAGCTTCTTTATTACGAACAGCCCAGTGTCGTGTTATTAAAATAGACGACGTAGTCGAGTGAATCTTGAAAGGACAGTTTATTCGGCTCGAATTGGCTCAGAAACGATGATCATCGGGGCAAACGCGTCCAACTTGATAAGATCCTTCATAATTCACGAACGAAATTCAAACGGTTAAGAAGGAAAGGCTCAAGGAGAAGAAAATAAAAGGGGAAAAAGAAAGAGAAAAAGGGAAAAAGGAAAAAAAAAAAGAAAGCATGTCGGAAAGTGAGACCAAACCAGCCTCGCCGGTGCCAAACGTTTGCACGCAAGGTTGCAACAGTCTGATTACCGTACATTGCCCTACGCTTCAAGTGACATCGCGAATGTTGCGTTCGCCAAGCCACGAAAGTGTTACCACCGATATCTCCCTTTTCAGTGTATCCTCGATAGCAAGCGAATTACGATGTGCTAACAGGTTGGTTACCTTCAAATCGTATAGCGATGTGCAGTTAGCTGGACGGGGACCCTCGCCGAAACCCGATCGCCAGATTCAGGATAACAGGTGGGTAAACATCCATTGACCAAGATCTGTCGTGTACGGAGCAAAATAAAAATAATTGGCTTGCTCTTATTGATATACTTTTTATTCCATTTTGAGAGATGCCATTCTATTTTATTATTCGATCATATTCTAAAAGATATTCATTTGTATCCAACGTACACACAGACCAGCGGATATTCCGGAAATCCTCTGGTTCGAGGAGGAGAACGATCTGATCCGCAGTTGCGGTGTTCTTTCCTCGGCACTGGGTCTTCGTAAAAGCTTCAGTACGAGCGACGTCTCGCAATTACCGAGCCCGGACGCGTCTGTACCAGCAGCCGGACTTCGTTCGGCCGTATCAGCCTTGGCACTCGATACTCAAAGAAACAATTTACTTTTGGAACACGCGAGGCTCGATCACGCTTCGAGATCCTGCAGCACGTGGGTCGCTGTTGGGGAACCCGTCGCGAGTACGTCTCAACTTCCGAGTCCTCACGGTGGTGCAGCGCAAGAACAACCACAACAAACCTCGAGCTCTCATTCCTCCGCACCACAACCACCACCAGCTCCACCACCTCCACCTATACCTTTTACCGGTGCCGATCTTATAAGGTCCGTCAATAAGAAGGTCCGACAAAATTATATACGCCGAAGGTAAGACATATTTCCTACCTCCAAACTTACCTATTTTATCCAAATCAAATAATTATTCAAATTTAATAAAAAAAAATTGGAATTTTCATCTTGTGTCTAATTAATAATTCAAATGTTCCATAGATTGCTGACGACCTACCGAGCTCTCGAACGACTATCTCAAAGCGAATTCAACTTGGACCAATTGGAGGCAGCGGCAAGCGCAGCGCAAACAGGTGCACCAGGTACGACATTACTCGTACCTGGTACTACTTCAACACTTTCCGGTACATCAGTAATCGGTCGAAAGGAACGGAATCATGCGTTGACCGTCAGAGACGTCGAAAGGGAACGCGGTAATCAATTATCCAAGTACGAGAGGAACATGATGATTTTTAATTGGCTTCACACTCTCGATGATAAGGCAATTGTCGACAGTGTCGAATAATCCTAATCGATCGATGATAATCGGCTTATCAAGCACCTATGGCGCTTACCGAACACGGACTAATCGGCATCGACGTATTATTTCTGCCTTCTTCTTCTTAATATTTTTCTTTCCAATATTTCTTCTTTGATTCGTTGTTATTTTTTTCTCTTTTCTTTTTTTTTTAATCTCAATTTAGAGTACATGATATATAGACATACATAAAAAATAAAAATCGATATCTAATTACGTAAACGGAAGGCCTTTTCACAGAGGAACAAAAGTTGGTTGCAATCGAAAAAGATATGAGAAAAGAGGAAAATCCTCGTTAGACGCGCGGTTGAGAGACGTCCGTCCCCTCTCGTCCAAAAGATATATCGCATAAAAAATAGATAAAAAAAAAAAAAAAAAAAAAAAAAAAACCAAAAAAAAAAAAAAAAAAATGAGAAAGAATTTGAATAAGCATATCCGAACAATTTGGGTTGATCGGATGAACGATGTAGGAAAAATAACGGATTCGCTAATTCACTAAGTGCACGCACCTAGAACCATAGTATTAATTATGATGAGACTACTAAAAATGCGACATCACGATTTATCATTTTTTTTCAACTATACTTAAAGTCGATGCACCGACAGTTTATATGATATATATGTGTGTGTACATACTTACCATGTATGTATTTACCATATTTCTTATTCGATGACAACATTTTCTTCCTTATTTTCCTCGTTGATAAGATCAAATTAAAAAACATACTGCAACATTATTGTCGTTGCATCGAAGATATGCATACATAGTCGTCGAGTATAATCAAACTCTTACCTTGTTTTTTTTTTCATCGTTATATTTGGTAGCGTCGTTGCTCGACTCTACTACTATTATATTGTAAATTCAAATATGTAAGAAAGAAGCTTTATTATTCTCTTTCTTAGAAGCGTAGATTTCGATTAATCGCGTCTCGCCAGGTGTTCAGGATAAGTATTAATTAAGTTACAACAAAATCGTAACGTTAAAACTAAGGAAAGATCGCAACGAGCTTATACGAAAGATTTCTTTATTTTATTTTGTATCGAGCTTTCATTCGTTTAACTTCCGATATATTCGAGTGATTTTTTATTTTACTAATTACAACTTTATACATTTTTTAGAGAAAACAGAAAGAAAAAAAAACGTTTTATATTCGATTTAATATACAGCAATATAGAAGATATTTTTCTATTTATTATGGAAATCATCGCATTAACTTCGAACGACAAATATTTTCACAGAAAACACGAAAAGCTCTCTACGATCTGCCTTCAGTTTCATAATACGTGTTCCTATCAAAGCCTTAACAACCGTCAAACATAAATAGAAAAAAGAAAGACAAAATAAATTCTCCAATAAAAACTGTAATCTTTGAAATTTACTTTTATACAAATTCTTTGACCGTTAAAAACTGACCGATTAATAGACTTCGCTTATATGCAAATAATTATCAGTATTATGTGCCATACACACAATAAACACTCACGTATACACAGAGACATACACACATACCAATGAAAAGAGATATATATATATATATAATATGTATATGTGCGTATATCTATACATTCCTGGGATTGTTAAAATGATGGATGTGTGATTGAATAACGTACGCTTTCCTTCTTATATATTTAACGTTTCTTCCGAATGTTACATTTGTGAGTCTCGCAGTACACACACATCCTTTATCCGGATGGTATGGAATCCTAATAAAATCGCAGAATCTATTATACATATAGAAAAAATCTTATTTGACCTATATTAGAAAGATATAATTAAGTGCTGAATTGGCCCTCGATCGATTGAATTGTTTTAGTGTCTCCAGATGAATATGAGAATTAAAAGACACATACATGCGCGATAACTTGACTTCGAAAAGCACTCAGGCAAGTATTCCTACCTGATATCGATGAAATTCAGCAATCTTTTTATTCAGATTCGGAACCAGAGCTTGCATCTGATTCGTATTCACCAATGTTGATTGTAAATTTGTACTCTTGATCACACCCAAGATACGCATCGCTCATAAAATATAAAGTATACGAATGCTGTCCTGGTGTCGGGGCAACAAAGTCCAACCTTACTTTAGCCTTCTGTTGCAAAGTTAATCTCTTGATGGAGAGTAAAGAATTCGTCTTAGGATCTCCGATGACAACCCACCAACCTTCCTCGCGTTTTTGTGGGAAGAATGGTGCTACTACTGGACCTGTTACTTCATCTTCTCTTTCGAGCTGTACAATAACATTCACAGTACCGCCACTGTGTAATTTATCCTTGTCCTGAACCTCGTAAGACATTTCAATGTTGGGATAACGATTACAAAATTTAGCAACGTCTGCCATTTGTGCATCCGTCAGCTGTAAAAGTCTATTCCTATCGTCAAATTCGAGTTCTATCACGTCAAAAACGGTCTCAACTTTCTTTTCTGTGCATCGTTTGATCGTTTCTGAGGTAAAGTGCGGTAATTGTTTGAGATAAGAATCTTTCGACCACATCGCTTGCGTTACCATCTGTGCCAATTCCATAGCAGCAACGGCAGGCGTCAACCAACCTGAAGAACTAAGGACATCGACGCAGGCCTGTATCAACCTAACTGCTTTGCTTAGAACTAATTCTGTGTCTTTTTGTAATTCTGGGCCTAACTGTATTCTAGAAAGGTGAGCTTGCAAAAGTAATTGAGCTTTCACATGAGGATCAGCCATTCTAGTTGCTTGAGGCGCATGAGGAAGTCGTGAAGCTAAACTTCTCAATAAATTCTCTTCTCGTTGTCTTACCGGAACAGTTTCGTATTCCGCAGCTGCCGATATAATCTCCAATAGACCGCGGATCTTCGTTTTGTTGTTCAAAGATAGACTGAACAATTCAATGGTGGCATAATTGATGTAATAATAAGCAGCGATCATTCCAAGATTCAATGGTAAGGTGTCCATTTCATCCTCGACCGCTACACACTTGGCTTGTTCAAGATCATTCAATGTTGTTTCAACTAATTCGGACAGATGATCTGACAAGTGTCTGTGCGTGATTCCTTGCAATCCGTAATAATTTGGATTTTGAGTGAGTCTCCTGTATAGGAATGTCCATGTAAGGTAGTCAACTGCGTCCTGCTTGTTTTCTATCGTTTTTGTAACAATTTCAGCGTTAAAGTGATCGTGTAATCTGTGATCCAAATGACTCTCTACTGGTAGTGGTTCGTTTAAGAACTTTTTAAAGAAATCCTTTTTAGAACTTTGACAAAGAAGCACGCACTTGGCATCGTCGTCTTCTAATGGTCGATTAGCTCGTGCTACCATTTGTAAAACATCTGTTATCGGATAATCCTCATACGCGTGAGTTTTCCCATTGTAACACTGAGTGTCCATTACTACTACCAAATGGGAACTAATGGATAAACTCCAACACAAGTCTCTGGTTGCCACTGCTACTTGAATGGCATCGCTGTCAAACAATTGTTCGACTAAACGTCGATCATCCGCAGAAAGTCCTTCATGCAAATAAGCTATACCTTGAGACAAGGTCTCTTTCAATGTTTTATCTGTCATTCTATCTAAGAAGGGTTTGATATCGGCTTCTTCGGCATGGAAAAATCTTGATGGTGCACCCTCTGCTGCTGTAAATGTTAATAAATCGATAGCTGTTAATCTAGCTTGCCGACGAGTAGGCACAAAGACAATAACAGGTTTGTGCGCGGCATGTCTTAGTATCGCATTATATACTGGTTTGGCCATAGCAGCCAGCCTTGAGGCATTATGAGTTATGTTAATGCCCTGAACATGTAATTCCAATGGTACAGGTCTCACAGAAGGATGAAAGTTAAAAGTTGCAGCAGCTGGTGCACCCAACCATTGTGCTGCATCCTTAGCATCGGCCAGTGACGCTGACAACGCTACTATCCTAGTTGGTTTATCCAACTGAGAGGAAATATATCTCGCTCTGGAGCAAGCTACTTCTAAGACGGGACCTTCTTCACCGCCGATTAATTGCAATTCATCCACAATAAATAATTGGATATTCTGTACATTCTTACGTTGCTTCCATCTTCGAGAAAGCACATCCCATTTGTCAGCAGTCGTTATGACTATTTGTCCTTTGGCAAGTAACTTAAGATCTGTTCCAGTTTCTCCAGTTAGTAAAACTACTTTCCTACTCAATTGTTGGCCAAACTTTACCAGCCAATCGGCATAAACTAGCTCAGCCAATGCTTCCTTGCTGACCATATAGACGCATCTACCTTCTGGATTTTGTGTCAACAAACGAAGTACCGCAAACTCGGCAATAGTAGTCTTTCCAGATCCAGTTGGTGCCCCAACAAAGACGTTATCATCAGAATTGTATACCGCGTTAAATACTTGTGTTTGTATTGGATTAAATTGCGGAAATTTGTTGGCATATAAATTTTCAAATTTAGCGTTTCTCAACGCGGTTATTGGTAAAGGCTGGAGATCTAATAATTCTGTTGGCGGTAGATTCTTTTCTGGTAATATGAGATGTCTAAAACTGACGGGTAATTGAGTCTCAACACCGATCCATCTGTCCGATACTACACGTAAGAAATATTGCGGCGGTAATGGTTCAAATACTGGAACAAAGAATTTGATTAAATGCTCGTCGGTCGCGTATTTCGCTTTTAAAAGGAAATATTCGTGATGGAGTATGACCTCGGAATCGACGTCTTCCACGAGAATCCAAAATGCTTCAGAAGCACCATGCACTTTCTCGTCCCATTGAAAATCAGGCGCAATTGTTAATTCGACGCGCAAGGTGGACCGCGTGATCGGTTGGATATGCGTCGATAATTCCAATTTTGGAAACTGATGGACATATTTATAAATAGTTTTTCCTAATTTAGGCGATCGTATCATTTCACCAATTTCGTTCGGTCCGAGATCGTACAATCTTTCCCATGGCATGTTTTTCTTCTCTATTTTCTTCACTATTTCCTCCGGCATCTTTCGGAATTGTCTTAAAAGCGACATGGATTGCCACATTCTACGATCTATCATTTTACACAAGGATAAACATTTATCCGCTAATTGGGCCCATCCGCGGAACAACACAATTTCAAATATAGCTCTCATTAATCGCGTTGCCGATTGCGTAACTAACATCATATCGGACATCAGAGCAAATCCTTCCAATTTTAATTGTGAGATGTATGCTTGTAACAATACATTCACTTTAGCACTAGGCTCTTCTATACTCTCTTTAACTGGTATAGGTACCCGTTCCATCAACTTTTGTAATTCCAATTTCTCTTCCTCCCTGACATTAATATTTTTGAATTCGCTGGACAACGAGAATACTCGGAACAATTCGATTTCACTTAATGTTCGCTTGAGAAGTTGATTGTACGTAGACATTGTTTCGTGAGTACAGTAATAATGCGAAGCT